ACACTTAGTGCTAATTTAGAATGCGACTTAAGCATCAATGCGGATTTAACGCTCAGTGCAGTTGGTGCTTCAGCAAACCGCTATCTCTCTTAATTCAGATAATATCTAACTAGATGATCCTTTTCGACTAGGTCGCCATGGTTGGATCATGATTTCCATGATCCAAATTTCTCGCAATCTAGACTGTAGAACTCGAATTAGGGAAACATTAATTTGATTATAGCTAAAGAGTTGGGCTCTTCCCTTGAGGAATTAACCCAAAATAATCAAAGAGCTCTTCAAGTCACCACCTCTCCAACTATACAATAGTATTCGGCTGAGTTCTAATAGAATACGTCACGAATTGAATTTCGGGACGAAATTCTTTCAACCGGGGGACACTGTGACAACCGTCAAAATTCGAGTTAGTTCTAGATTTGAATAAACTTAGTTGCACATATAGGCACGACACATACTAGACTTAGTAACTAGAAGCTAAGTTATGACCTACTAGAAACTTGGAAACAATTAGAATCAATGGATAGTGTACTTAGATTTCACATTGATATGTGAATTCTACAACTACGTAACGGTAGTGACTATCCTTATTCGGGCCACTCTTTGACTCGAACACACTTTTCATGAATCATATACACACATTATGCACTTGACCTAGTAGTAGAAATTAGGTCGGAGTCTCATAGAAACTTAAGTCAAAGTTGTAGACTAGGACTAGTATACTTGATTCCTCAATTTCGCTTGAATCTCGGAGTCACTACATAGAATGCCAATAAACCGATAAAAATAAATTACAAACATTATTTATAACTATAAAAGAGTTATAATACCATAAGATAATTTAAAGTCTCAAATATTCTATTTATTTTGATATTCAAAGTTTATTAAACTCCAAAACCCTAAAAGCCATAAAAACTCATATTTATAAACTTTAACCTTAAAATTTTCTATAAAATAATTATGAAACTTATAATATGATCTTATAATAATAAAATTATGAGAATGCATTTAAAAAAATAAAATTTAAGTCATTAGTATTTAACCTTATTTTCTATGCAAAAAAAAAAATCAAGGTTTTGTGAATGAAAATTAAAATAAGGTGCATATTTTATAAAAACTTGATATTTTTATAAAATAAAGTTATAATTTTATAAAATTTAAGAGAGGGGACCCTCCTCTCCACTCCAAAGTCGGACTCCCTCCTCCCAGATGCCTCTCCTCTTCCCAACACACAAAATGATTCTTCTTCTCTCTCACACTCCATATTCCCTCATTTTCTCTCATTTCTCTCTCACACTCTCACACACTTTTCTCTCTTCCTCCCACTATGAACACGAAATTTTACAGCCAACATGTCCGAACACTCAAGATACTCAAAATCTTCATCATCTAATGGTGTTCATTAAGGTAGAACACGATTTCCTTTCATTTTCCTTCCTTCAAGTTTTCATGGATTTTCTTGCATTTCTTTGTTCTTCTACACCATTCTAATGAAAGATCATGAACACATAAACATACACACACACAAACTCATGGTTTGATGATGATGGTGGTAGGATTTCAACCAAAAACAACATGCATGTTGTAAATGGTGAAATCCAAGGACCAAAACCTATGTCAAAACACTAAAAATACGATGTTTACAAGTTTTGAAGTTCATATACCTTATCCATTCAAGTATTTCCTTTGAAAACATCACTATGACCAACATATGTCCATGCATGGTCTTCAAACCGTGATGCATGTGATGAACACCAAGCTAAAGAGCTTGATGATTAAAGTACATTGTTATAGTGCATGTAAATGATTTTATTTTAAAAAATATCTAAAAGTTCTTTCTGTTCGAAATAAAAATTTTCCCAGATTCCCATTAAGATAATATGAATATCTGGAAAATCCCAAGAGTTTTTACCATTTCTTTGATTTATTAAATTTGTTACAAGAAAACAAGGGCATAAATCACATAAAATACTTTCTGAGGTCTATAAATCCTAGAAACATTCGTGGATGACCCTTATGGTGAATAATGACCCCTCATAAAATTTCATCGATTTTTGTTACTGTTTGATGTGTCTTTTGATTTTCTTTTTGTGTGGTTCCAATAAATCACAAAACCACTTTAGAGAGTGTGAAAATGCCATCTAGCAATTTTCGCACCTCTTACCAGAGGTGGAAGACTCAGAAAATAAAATTTCAAGATTTTTTATAATAAATTTCTATTTTTCCCAATTTTTGTAATTATAATGGCCTAAAAATAGAAAAATATTTCTAATCATCCAAAATTCATGCAAATTTACCAGAACACCTTGTAGTACATTAGGAGGCTACATAAAAATTTTGATGATTTTTCTCTTCTGTATACTATTTTTCTCCTATTTTCTAAGATTAAATACACTTAAATACACAAAATCGGATTTCAGTATATAAAAACCACATTTGGTATTTTCCCAGATTATTTACTCTGAAAATGAAGTGTACAAAATTTTGGTAATTTACTTTAACTGTTTAATAATTATTCTCCAATTAATGATTATTTAAGAGGATAAAACAAAGAAAAATAGAAAGACTAATTGAAAAATATCTTTTATATTTTTCACAGCTTCTAAATGTATAATAAAAGTGTTACAAAAATTTTGGGCAATTTTGGAAACTGTTTTCTATTTGTTTCAATTTTTATTGGAATAAATGCTCAAAAATCATAAAATTGGGTTAAACAGTTTAGAAATCAATTTTTATATTTTTCCCAGCTTAATAATGTTTAATAACAGTAATACAAAAAGTTTGGGTAATTTTGGAAACTGATTTCTATTTTTCATGAATTTGTATCTATTTAGAGAATTAAATATATGAAAAATGGTTATACATATTCATACTCCATGAAAATTTATCTAGAAGTCTTTTAGTACATTTAGAACCAAAATCTGAAGTTTGGTAATATTTATTAACTGTTTAGTATTTTTCAAGATTTTATGGTTATTCAAGAAACTAAAATCGTGAAAAATAGTCAGACAAATAAAAAATTCAAGAAAATTTATCTTGAGGTCTTTCACTTCAATTAAAACTGAAATGCAAACTTTGGGAAATTTTAGAACTAAATTAATTTAGTTTTTGAATATTTAATCATTGGAACACCTCTTAAATTGTTAAATATTAGCATTTCAATAATGAGAAATTTCCACTTAAATTATTATATAACAATTGATTCATTGAAATTTAATTTTCACAGAAAAATGTTTGTAACTTATCAATATTAAATTTTGACACAATATTGACATAATTCTATTGTAGTAGTAAGTATACAAGTGTTAGATTTCGATTAGAGACTCACTAGCGAATACCATTATTGTAGGAATCGGTAGTGGTACACGTGGAACGTAGTTCAAGGCACCATTTGTATCATCTAAATGCATTGTGAGTATTCACGCACTCCCCTATTTTCGGTTTTTATGTTTTGGGGTGGAAAAGCATGTCCCGAAAAACTATTATTTGAATGTTGTATTTAAATTGATTTGCATCAAACATGATTGCTATTTTATTGCTATGTCTCTCTATGTATGTCTATGCAACACGGAACATGAGAACTTATCGTACTAAGGCCCTTCCCTTATCTCTAACCATTAACTCTTTGAGCCAATGGTCATTATGGATAACGCTATTAGGAATTGACAACTCCTCACTCGCCCTATTGCTGGAGTGCATGATACCATATTCATCTATGGAACGATAAGCATAGATCTTGATAGGGCTTCAGTCATAGGTTTGGTTGAGACTCATTGTTTGCTCATACACATACAAACTCGTTTCTCGTTATAGCAATAAACTTGTTATTAATTATAGCAATGAACTTTGTTTCTCATTACAACAACGAACTTTTATTACTGAAAACTTATATACATGTTTTAGCAATGAAATTGTTTGCTCCTTGTAGCAACGAAACTGATGCTCATTTTAGCAATGAAACTTGTTTACTGTTTGAGTAACGAACTTTATCTTCCATGAGAATATGAATGTTGCATCTTATTTGGGCAACATACCTTATCTCTCATGATGACAAAGAACTTTGTTTTTACAAACTTATTGACTCATTTTAACAATATACTTTTATTATTGGAAACTTTTATCAAAACTTTGATTTCAGTTCATGGAACCAGTATTATTTTGTTTATCTGTGAGTACTCACCAACTATTTTTATAGTTGACGCTCATTTTACATGCTTTTTCAGGAATCATCGAGTAAGTGGCACTTAGGGACACTTCACTTTTAGGAGCATTCGCATGTGTTGTATTTCAATTTACATTGTAATTTCTTTTAAAAGTTGTTCAAACCCATTGTGAATTTGTAATGATTTTTAATACTATGGTTGGTGTTGTCTTTTAACTTTTGTGATGAAACCCTTTGTACTGCCACGCCCTGTGTTTCCGCTTTAGCGGGGTGTGACAGTGGCATAATCATTTCCCTCAATAAAGAAGAGGGCACAGGCGAAAAGACCGATTTGCCCTTATATTATTTTAATGAAATAAGGGTTAACGGTGGGGTTCTAACGGTGTGAGGGATAAGGACCATCTGTCAAAAGTTTTGAAAGCATAGGGACCATTTATGAGATTTTTAAACCACGGGAACTAAACTTCAGAATCTAGGAAAACACAGGGACCATTTATGATGTTTTTTCAAAAATAATAATAATAATAATAATAAATCTTGATTCCGGAGGCAAACAAAACATGAATCTTGATTCCTAATTACCCATCCTCCCGCCGCAGTTAACCCGCCGGTGAAAGCCGGGTTCTCTTAGTCTTATCCTCCTTTTCGTCCTTCCAAACCCTAAATTTGAAACCCTATCCGTTTCCCCAAATTTCGTACATTCAATTGGTAGCATAATTGTCAGGTTTTCGGACAGAATCCCCTCTAATCTAAACATACATTTTTCGTTGTTAATAACATAATCGAAGATGGTGTTGGCGGAGCTAGGGGGGAGCATTTCACGTGCTCTCCAGCAGATGAGCAACGCCACGATCATCGATGAGAAGGTTCTTAATGATTGCTTAAATGAGATCACTCGCGCTCTTCTTCAGTCCGATGTTCAGTTCAAGCTCGTTCGTGATATGCAAACCAATATTAAGAAGATCGTCAATCTCGATGATCTCGCGGCAGGTCATAATAAGAGCAAAATCATCCAACAGGTAAGCTTGTGTTTGACTTCGTCTTCCTGGTTTCGAAATTGAGAAATAACGCCTGAATTTTTAGTCTACCGATGAAGAATTGAGCATTCTCTTCTTACCTTAGGCTATATTCAATGAGCTCTGCAAGATGTTGGATCCTGGAAAACCTTCTTTCACACCCAAAAAAGGCAAACCAAGTGTTGTCATGTTTGTTGGTCTACAAGGTATTATCATGATCATAAATCTTATACTAATTCTTCTCAAATTACATTCTTACAAATTCGGAATGATTTTAGGTTCTGGAAAAACTACAACTTGTACAAAATACGCTTACTACCACCAGAAGAAAGGTTGGAAACCAGCTTTAGTATGTGCAGATACATTCAGGGCTGGTGCTTTTGATCAATTGAAGCAAAATGCAACAAAAGCTAAAATTCCTTTCTATGGAAGGTACATTTGCATTCATAGTATACTAAACATATTTCCAGTTACTTACTATCAGATTCTTGATTATCATTTCAACAGCTATATGGAGTCAGACCCTGTGAAAATTGCTGTGGAAGGTGTAGAAAGATTCAGGAAAGAAAATTGTGATCTTATTATTGTTGATACTAGTGGTAGACATAAACAAGAAGTGGCTCTTTTTGAAGAGATGCGTCAAGTTTCTGAAGCAACAGTATGTTACTCTTACTCAAATTGATTATTACTTTATAAATTTAATTTCCTATTAGAAAATGATAAAAAAATGGTATTTGTAATGTTATAGAAACCAGATCTTGTTATATTTGTGATGGATAGTAGCATTGGTCAAGCTGCATTTGACCAAGCTCAAGCTTTTAAACAAAGTGTTGCTGTTGGAGCTGTAATTGTTACTAAAATGGATGGACATGCAAAGGGAGGTGGAGCTCTTAGTGCGTAAGTGTCGTTTTGGTATATGATGGAATTGAAGGAAGGAATGGAATCGTACATTCCATTCCATTCCATTATCTTACAAAAATTTTCTTGTTTCTCAGAGTTGCAGCAACAAAAAGTCCAGTAATTTTTATTGGAACTGGAGAACATATGGATGAATTTGAAGTTTTTGATGTTAAACCATTTGTCAGCCGTCTTTTAGGTTCTGAAATTTACTTGTTCCATTCCATGCGAATTTGTAATTAAATTATATTTTAAAAATTTGAATTATTATAAATTATTAGGAATGGGTGATTGGTCTGGATTCATGGACAAGATTCATGATATTGTTCCAATGGATCAACAACCCGAGCTTCTACAGAAGCTTTCAGAGGGAAATTTCACATTAAGGATTATGTATGAACAGTTTCATAATATTCTCAAAATGGGTCCCATCGGCCAGGTTCATCTTTACTATTTAGTAAATAGACTATAATACCCTTTTAAGTAACATAATTTTAAAATCATAGGTTTTCTCAATGCTTCCGGGGTTTAGTTCAGAGTTAATGCCAAAGGGTCAAGAGAAGGAAAGTCAAGCAAAGATCAAACGATACATGACAATGATGGACTCAATGACTGATGAAGGTAGAAATATAAATATTATTTAAACATGAATTATTTGATTTAATTTGTGGGATTTGATTTTGTAGAGTTGGATAGTATGAATCCGAAGCTAATGAATGAGTCAAGAATGATGAGGATAGGGAGGGGATCGGGTAGACAAGTGAGGGAAGTAATGGAGATGTTGGAAGAATATAAAAGACTTGCAAAGATTTGGAGCAAAATGAAAGGACTTAAGATTCCTAAAAAAGGGGAAATGAGTGCTTTGTCTAGAAACATGAATGCACAACATATGAGTAAAGTCCTTCCTCCACAAATGCTAAAGCAAATTGGGGGAATGGGTGGATTGCAAAATTTGATGAAGCAAATGGGTTCGAATAAGGACATGATGGGCATGTTTGGAGGAGCTGGAGATAAGTAAATCTTTTAATTAATTAATTAATTAATTATTCTCTTAAATCTTTTATTTTATAGTGTAATTGTTATTTCAGGCTAAAGTCATATAGGCAATTGATTGTTAAGAAATTTGAGTTTTTTTTTTTTTAATCTTTTGAGAAAGAGCATGTTACTCACCCTTTGTAAGTACCATGAATGTGTTTATGATATACATGTTTTTTTTTAATCATTTGTCACATTTTGAATTTATGCAGTTTGTTAGCAAGATTAGTTAGTTTTTTATAGTTATTAAATCATTATATTTTTATCCCTTTTTTTTTTAATTATTTGGTTTTGATATCAATATAAAATACAGAAATAATACTTACTATTTTGTTTATTTAACAATTTAATTATTTTATTATATAGTTAAACCATAATATTGATTATGAACATTTAAGAAAACTGTTGTTATTATGATTATTATAAATTTTAATTTGTTATTACAGTTACTATAGTAATAATAAAGGTCTTGTTTTTTGGTACTTGGTATAACTGATATTGATTAATACATTGTTGTTGGAATTAATTTTACCTTTTTAAGCATGAATCATAATTCTTATTGCTATAAACCACAAAATTACGAAACAAAAACATCAAAACATAAAAAGAGAACAAATAAGTGTTATCATATACTATAAATTATACAACTAAAGACATAAGATCATAAAAAGAATAACTTGAGTGTCATGACTCTCTACCTAATTCAAGATGAATTAATAAAATGACGTCACTTGATAAGACTTTTTGCCACTTGTGACATACAATGCTCGATTTCAAGTTGTAGTGGAGAATTTTTTAGACTCGACTATATAACAAAGACTAAAAAGGTAGGATCTGATCTGGTTAAAGATTTTAAGATCTCAGTCCATATTTTAAGATCTCAGTGATGGATCTTAATCTGAGCGGCATCATTTTTCACTTAATAGGATCAGATCTTATGGTCAACATCAGGATCTTAACAACCATGCTTTTAATAACTCATTCTATGACCTTATTTATACTATCAAATAGTAGTATTAACATAACCATCCATTCCATTCCTGAAACACACCTTTTTCATTACCTTAATGATCATGGATCAACATGAGCTCAACTAAATAGTAAATATTATTACATTTGTTTACATATCTCACAAGAGTCTTTATGCATGATTACATCATTATGTCATTCTTCAACATTGTCCTCGAGAGTATTCCCATGCTTTTTACTCATAGCATGACGGATGATGGAGTTGATTTGTTTTCTTAACTTTGCATTCTCAATTAAAATATTACCAAACAACTTCCTTAAATCATCATCTTCGTTTGCACCATTTTCACCAACCACTTGTACCTGTTAAAATTATCAGATACAAGAATACTTAACGGGCTTAATGTATTAAGTACTTCATCTACACAGCTATACATGCTGTTTTTTTACTTAATCTAGATAGAATGACTTAATGGGTTACCCCAAAAAACCCTGAACATTTACCTCTTCAAGTAAAAGATCGATTTGACTATCAGATATTTCCAACACATCAATGACATCTGATGAAGAAGCATTCAGCATCAAATTATCATCTTCAACAAGAAATTTGGCACTACATTCTTGAAGCCGATTGCAAAGAATTTCACATTCATTCAAAAATGTGGCTTTAGAAGCATTTTCATCTTCCCATTTTTGCTTCTCCTTCTGGTATACATCCATACAATGCACACAATTACAAGAAATTTTATATAACAAATTCATATAATAATTATTAATTCCTTCAAACACCATTTGTTAAACACAAAATTGCAATTCTTTATGTTATGAAAACATTGTTTGCATAGAAGAAGAAAGAAAAAAATCCACATACTAAAAGTTACCTCTAATTCAACTTTTTTTTCCAGACATTTGTTAAGTTCCTCCTTTAGTTCTGAATGTGATGCTCTAAGAGAGTTGACTTCCTCAACATCTGATTTTGACTTCAATTCCACCTCATCTTTCTCTTTCCTCAAAATCTTAATCTGCTCCTTAACATCATCCAACTCTTCCATCAACAATTCATTCTTTTGGATCATGGTTTCTTTCATTGATTCTGCATATGCTCTAGCATCCTAATATGTATATTATTTCCAACACATTATTCACCATGAAAATTACAAAAAAGTTCATGTGACAAAAATAAATACTTATACCTGTTCAGTTGTCACTCTCAACTCCAACTCTGTACACTTTCTTTGAAGCTCTTCCATATCCATGATATTTTCTCCAGTTGAATTATTAATACCTCTCTCAGATACATTTTCTATGGTAATTTCATCATATTTTTCCTCTTCAGGAGCACTAAGATCAGATGTTTCATGGGCACAGTTGTTGTCCATGTCAGCATATTCATTCTGAGTCGACTCACAACATGCTGAAATACAAATAAAGTAGTTTATTATACAAATAAGTAAAATCACTTGAGTTTTGTAGCAGCTATAGCAAAATTTATGCTTAAAAGAAGGGAAAGTGTATAATCAATATTCAATATTCGTTTGTAGTTAATCCATTTTAAAATGTTTATTATGTTTAATAGAGTGAATATTATACTTGTATATTCCTTGTATACATCAAAGTTAGTGATTCATATAGTTATTTTCTCAGAATGGTGTATTAACTATTTTCAATTCATCATATGCATTAATGAAAAAAAAAGCTTATATCAATACTAGCTAAATAATATTAGATTTACATAATAATAAAATATTCTACAAGCAACAAGATATAAATCTTAAAGACAATTATCCTGCCATTTTTAAGGAAAACTGAATAAATACATCTAAGTAAAGATTTAAAAAATAACTGCTGGAAGGTAAAACACAATTGAAATTTTCACAAAAATGAAACAAAAGAGTATAGATTTTCATAAGAATGGAACAAAAATGAAAGGTATAGTGATTATAGTGTCATTATACTTCTTAAAAAATGTTTAAGGTAGCTATGTGGAACAAATGTAAAACCTGATTACTATTAAATGACATTGCCCCTTAAAAGAAATAGAAACATACCTTCCCTTGCAGCTGCTTCTAACTCCAAAAATATAGCCACATGAGCAGTTCTAGAAACATCAATATCAGACAATAATTTTGTCATCCAACCCTCCAAAGCACACATTCGCTGTAACAATTTAAACCAATTAAGGATAATGTAACAAATCTCATAGATTTATAAAAAAACAGGATGGAAAAAAACTTGTGAAGAAAGAACATACATATACCAAAACTTTCTTGCTTCTTGTTTTCAAAAGACTCTTTGGGGGAGGTGGGGGCAAATTTTTCTTAGGAAATTCTTTTTTAAGCTGCAAAAAGAAATGAAATATTAGGAAATGATGATGTTTGGAAACCAAAAAGATAATAAATTCTTGAAGAACCTCAGAATATAGGTTCAAGAACTCGTTAAATCTTCTTGGGACTGTTCGAGTTGTGGTGATTCCTTCTGGTGATTGTATACCAACTTTAACACCATAAAACTGCATGAAGAACATAAACATCAACATGTATCACATCATAAATTCAATCACATAGATACACTAAGAAAGTAGGTAAGTACATGTTATGATAAGATTCCAATGTTGTTAAATTACTTGGATTCGTATTTCATTGATTAATAATCAGAAAGGCATACCACAGAAGAGCCAGCAGACGCTTCGCTACTCAAAGAAGGAATTGTGACACAGTAACTCCATCCTTTGTGGAAATCATGAGGCCAAACAGAGTTTCTGCCTTCCTGCATAGAGATTTCTAGTTCTATGAATGAAATTTAGAGGTTTTTAACTGGAATTGAAATTACGAAAATTCAACAGAAGCTCACTGGATTTCAAAGCATGAGAAAATTACAGAGACGCATATAAATACATGAATATAGCTATCAGAGAGGGGGTAAATGATAATCATACCCAATTCAGAGGAGGTAGACTCCAGTCCATGCCTAGAGGAAGAGGAGAAGTGCCGTCATGGCGGTGCTTCGGCGGGCTGCTAGGGGTTTTGCTTGGAGACCTCTGCCTCGGCCGCGGCGGCGGCCTTCTTCTGACATAGAGCTCATCATCATAATCAATTGCGGGTGCCATCCGAGAAATCGAATTTCCATAGATTGAACCGTTGATCGCCGGATCAGAAAAACCGTAATCGTAGAAAGATACATCGTATCCGTACATACTCATGGTGATCTTCGACTCCTTTTTAACAATTTCGTAGCTGCCGTCTTCGTTTCGCCGATTACGCCCGACTGCAATGGTGTAAGATGTTTATTGTTTCCTCCTGCTCTCTCACTCGAAGAATGGTGAAATAGTATTGGTCTATTGGAATGCGCCGAAGGGGGGATGATCAGTTTAGATTGGAAGACCACATTGATTTCGTTTTTCAGATTTAATAAATAAAAACTAGATTATGACCCGCGTTAAACGCGGGGAACGCATACATAAAATACAAATGTATATAGATATTGCAAAATAATTATAAAAAAATCAGGGTTATTGGTATTATTGAAATGTGTAAAAAATATATTGAAATCGGTAAATATATATAGTCGTTGAAGGACCTCTTTATAGATGGTAATCCAGTTAGAACATTTTTTTCTAAAAGATCAAGAAATTGACAATTTATTAGAATCTTATCACATTGATAAAAGTCATAACAAAGTGCAATAGATTGAATCGATTGTTACTTGAAAATATAAATTGACAATTTATTTGTATAACATAATTGTCTATACAATTGATGATGCATTATATGGTGTCAAATAAACAATAGTTACTTGAAAATATAAATATGATGCTATGATTAGATAAAAATATAATTATGTTGCTTTTATTGGTTCATAAGAAAAGTATGTTTCTATTATTTTTTAAAAAGTTAAGCATGCTTTTATTTTTTGTAACAATAGATAACTTCAATGCTATTTATTGGATTAAAATGTAAATATGTTGCTATTATTGGTTGAAAAGAAAAATATGTTGCTATTGTTTGGTAAAAAGACAAGAATGTTATTATTTGTAAAAAAGATAAGTTCATTTTTGTTATTGGATTGAAAGGTAATTATTTTGCTATTATTTTTTTTGAAAGTTAACTATGATGCGACACACCTTCGATTGGTTAGAAATAGATTAAGTCACTCACAAAAAAGGTCATCTCTTGTATACACATAAAAAATATTATACAATCGAATCTCAAAATATTAAACATATCGAGTTCTAAAATATAATATGGTCATCTCTTCTATACACATAAAAAATATTATACAATCGAATATCAAAATATTAAACATATCGAGTTCTAAAATATAATATGTTTTTCTGTACAATAGATTTCATATTAACTTTTAATGTAAAACCTACATAAAAATCCAACGTAAATTTATTTAATCTTTATTGAAATACTGAAACAAAAACACTATAATTTAGCTATGGCAAATCATAAACATAATTTTACCCAAGAAATGTGGTTCAAAACAACCAAAAAATCCCATCTTCCATAATAATCTTGTTTATGCTACCTCTAAAATCTTACATCCTGTTACCTACAACATCCAAGAACACAGGGTCACTCATCAATATAACCATAGGCTGCATTAGGTTTATTATGCACCGATTCAACTATTGCCCGAACTTCTACAATTCTATGTGCAATGGTTGTCATTTAATGAAGGCACGATTTTTAGCTCTAAATTTCAACATAATCAGACTTCATCATGTTAGTAATTCTTTTAATCAATACTTAATTAAGTTGAAGCAAAACCACACTTATGGTAAGCAACCTTGAAAACCGAAATTATTGGAATTTATGCTACAGGGTCATTTTTTACTAAAATATTTATTATTCTTCTCCTTCGTAGCTTCCATTTATTGATGCTCTTCCTCATTTTACACTACATTAAAACAAATTCATTAAAACGATTATATTAATATAAAACAAAAGACCAAGAAACTAACAATTCTAAGGAGGAAAGGTAATGGCATGTCACCTAATGCCCTTTTTCAAGAGAGATCGAATGGAAAAAAAATCTAGGGCTTTGTATTTTGATGTAAAAAAAATAGAACAATCAGCAACACCCAACACAGGAGATTTGGAGGATAAAACTTGTTAGAAGGAGATCTGAAAAATAAAACCAACAGGCCTTCAAAAAAAAAGATCAAATTAGAAATATTATAAACTTTAATTAAGAGATAAGAGAAAATGATAAACTTGGTCCCTATGGTACATTATACTTTCTAAGTTTTGGTTGAAGGGTAAAATGGTCATTATCAAGTTTTGACAGCTAGACTAATATCTTCCACTCTTGATGTCAAACTAATGTCAATATCAAAATTCTTATGAAAACATTAATCATTCTTTGGGTATAATTTTTTCCATGCGATTGATTATTTATCATTTACTCATGCTAATTTAGGATAATTTTAATTAGTTTAAGGCAGTGAAAGAAAAACTAACCTTAAAAAGCAATTGAAGACCAAGACTTTTCATCTGTACAGTTCTGATAATCTAGTCTGTAAAAGAAAAACAGAATGATTTCAATTGCATACAAATGTTTCTACCTTTGTTGAATAATTATTACTTGTAATTTTTATTCAGAAAACTCAAAAACAACATAAATTTAATTAAAGGGAGAATTGATAATAGAAGTTACTTACGATGTGAATAAAGTAAGAGTATGAGTATTGTTATCAGAGCTCGTCAGAAACCACGAACCATCCGACCCACCTATAGAAACAACATTCATCATCACAAGCAACGCACAAACAATGAGCATTGAACTTAAGAATAGATGACAATTTTACCATTTAACGCCCTTGAGGAAGTTATTAGGATTTTGAGACAATGCATACAAAAATTAGCATATGCAAACATCATTGTTGGTTATTATGTTAATCAAGAACCACAATCATGGTTTTTACCATGATGTAATATATATATATATATATATATATATATATATATATGCAGTTGGGTCATTTAGCAATAATAATGCCATTAACAAATATGCAGTTGGGTCAGTGCTGTAATTAGCTGAAATATTGCTCATACGTCCCTTAGTACATGTTCATAAAAATGCAAAATTTCAAAATTAAAACTCAACACAGATGCAATTGTGAGAAAGCAAAATAGATACGGAGAATAAGGGACATAGGAAATTGTAAATTGTAAAATAAATACAGAGAATAAGGGAGAAGGGTAACGTAACTGGAAAAATAGTTATTAATGTAAAAAAATTGATCAAACTTGCCTTCTTAGTTCATCTTGTAGCAAATAAAACTTGTTATAGTTCGTTTATTCAATTTTATTGATTTAAGCACTATATTTTTTTATCTCAAACATCATACCCTGAATCAATCAATTTATGAAGCAATTCAAACGGGACTTCGGATGTATCCTATTGATCCATACAATGAAAATTTAGCACTGTTTAAGATGGTCCCTATGTAATAAAAAAATTAGATAAATACTCCATCTGTAACAAAAATTACAGAAATGGTTCAACATCACTCTTTATACCATCCTACTTTCCCTTGCTTCAACCGTTGGACATTTTTTTAATGCAAGACTCTTTATAGCATTATTTTTTAGCATGTATAAAACAATTTTTCAAGTGGTAGCTATAATGCTATAATTTTCAAGTGGCAGCAAAAGAGTCTTTATAACATCCTACTTTGCCTTGCTTCCACTGTTGAAAATTATGACCAATTTGCCTTCCTGTTTCAAATTGCTCAAATTTATGACCATTTCATCCAGTTACCTATTTTTTGTTGAGATCATTTTGTGAAAGGAAAAAATACAAATAAGAACATCGTACTTTATAAAGAAATAACACCAAAAAAATGTTGGATACATAACAACCTACTTTATTTCCACCAAATATGGTTTAAAAGCAGAGTTCAAGGCTGCCAATGCTGAAGCACTTTAAGTTGGTCCACCACCCTCTATCCCTGTCACAATTAAAAAAATTTAAACCTTTTTATATTTATGCCCATTACGGTATATATAATTCTTAAATGTCATAAATGTGATAGAAATAATTCATGAATAGCTAAATGCAAGAATAACAACTTATTCCAATTATTTGTTTATTTACCAACTAGCATTTATAGTATGATATTTTAATGAACACATTAAAGAAAGTACTTTGATAATTTTTTATTTTTCAAAGTAGTATGTTGTATAGGATCTACCACATTGCCCAAAGATTTCGACATTTTCCGCCCATGTACATTGCGAATCATGGGATGTAAATAAACCTAAAGAATAGTTTAATATCATGCATTATTTGTTTGTCAATATATCACTATCATTATCATCTGAACTTAAATAATCACAAATCATCTTCACCTATGACTCATATACCATGTATATGTAACTCGCTAGCTACTAATTTGCGCCTAGCACATAACATAGTTCATGAATGACAACTGAACCTAGGTAAGGTGAAAGATACAATAACATATGGATCAGACTGTTATATCCAACCACTGGGAGGAGTTGATGTGATATGGTTGTTAGATATTCAAAATTGATTCAACAACATATAAACTTATTATAGAACCAGAGTGTGATAACAACAAAAAAAAAAAAAAAAAAAAAAAAAAAGCGAACAGGAAACTGACATGTACTGTACTGGCAGCAACAACTTCTTCTCTTCTTCATTGAGCCGGATTTTCTCTTATTCAAATTTTTGTTCGGCACTCTGCACAGTTGACTCTGGGATTGTGTGTGGATAGAGAGCAAGCTTCATTGGTTTTAGATGGAATTGGAAAAGTTATTTGCAAGACAGGAGTTTGTTTTTACACAAATTTGGTGAATCTCTTTCAATAATACATCTCTCCCATGTCAAAGAAGCTCCTAAAACATTCCAATTCATCATGTGCACTTTTTAGCAGCCAAACGGTCTGTTTGACCATGGGAAGCATGGTAGCTTCTGAAATATTATTTGCAAGGGCATTTTGGGAAGCAATCAATGTTGAGGAAGTCCTCAAACTTTTCATGCTGCTACTAATAACTTGGAGTTGGAGACCTGATACTTCAGATGGTAGTATTGTTAGACTTGAACCTTCATAACATGTGTTATCTAATGAAGGGATCAAGATTTCTCTCACCGGTGTTTGAGGCTGCATCTGCTACAGAATCGAAGGTAATGCAAACCTGTATCAAACATTTGAAGAGCACTGGGAGCCATTTGATCCAACAAACTGTTTCTCTGAAACCTAAAATACAGAATGATGCAACATAACATATCAACAGTGGCTTCAATTATTTGTTTGTCAATGATTTGCAAATTTAAAAAAAAAACGTATCAAGGGATTTATTAGGTTAATGGGTATAACTGTCAATTCTTTAAAATGGTGAAATA